ACCATAGATATACGAGCATAGATAAAATGATATTACGAGTCTATAACTAAAACTCACAGTTTCAACGTTAAACTAAGATGTTTGAACAAATATGGTGAAACGATCAAAGTTTTAATTACAGAAATAAAACTATATTAATTATCTACTGAATTAAATAACGCAGTAAAACATGAAAAAAACTAAGGGTACGCTTATCAATATCAGCTTATCAAAAAATGATCCAGAAAACACTCTATAAATTGCGCTAGAACTACTTCGAAAATCCTTGCCAAACTATCATATGTATGTATATCCCATCTCCTGCCCTGCACTCGATGAGGCGATCATCCCGCTTGAAGGCAGATCTTAAGACAGCATCCGGCTATATAGAAACAGTTGGTTATATATTCAATATTTTTTCTAGTTGACTATTTAATTGAATTAGTGCTAATTGGTGGTTTGTATTCACACACTTAAACTCAAAAATGTAAAGTAATAATAAAATTATTTAAAAGAGCAACACGCAAGTTTCTTGCTCGTTCTTCTTGTGATGAGACAGCTTTCCGAATAAGCGGTAGATTAAAAAAATGTAATGACTATTCAAAACTGTATAGTGGTATTATATATAGTACTAGCTTTTACTAGCTTTAGCTATTATACTATATATAATACTAGCTTTTGTCCGCGGCTTCGCTCGCGTTAATTTATCCCCTTAGGGGTGGAATTTATGAAAATTTTTTTAGGGGATGCCTACGTCATAGTAACTATATGCATGCAAAGTCTCAGCCCGAACGGTTTAAGATTGACAAAGTTTCATACAAATGTTCATCCCCTATTTTATCCTCTTGGGGGTAGAATTAATCAAAATCCTGTCTTAGCGGATGCCTACGTCATAACATCTACATGCCAAATTGCAGCCCGATCCGTCCAGTGGTTTTGCGTTGATAGATCACTATATCAGTCAGTCAGTCACCTTTGAGTTATATATATTTAGATTACATTAATTATGAATAGAGTAAGTATTCATAATACGCAATTTCACAGCGAAAATACACCCTTATTTAATATATTTATAAGTAAAACATAATCAGACCAGAGCCAACATAACATACTAATTAGTGATTGTAACAATCAGGTGGGTGTAAACATTTCTGTATAACTTATTCAATTCTAACAATGCCAGGCAAGAAAGTAAAGATAATTAAGTAGATATAAAAACATTACAACTATTATATAACCACGGAGGAATTTCATGAATCTCATGTTTTTTAATTGCTAACAGATATGTTCACTTATTCTCATTCATTCATTCATAATTTGAGAGCTGTGCTCTTGTCGGTGGAGCTCCCGCCACCTTCCACGATCTTCTATCAGTCCTTCTAGCTGTTGATACGACACGACTCCAACTTTTTCTTTAATTTGCTTGATATAGCTGTGTCTTGGTCTTCCCCTTCCTCTCTTTGGGTCATTGGGCTCCCTAAAATATGGTCGAGCGCAGTGATGGCTGGCTCATCCGTCATACTCGTGAACGGGTGCTGCTTGTAGGGACTGGTCTGCTCTAATCACTATGACTGATTTCCTCTTATTAATAGTTTAACCAGTTGGTTATGTATTCAATATTTTTTCTTTTTGAGTATTTAATTGAATTAGTGCTAATTGGTGGTTTGTATTCACACACTTAAACTTAAAAATGTAAAGTAATAATAAAATTATTTAAAAGAGCAGCACGCAAGTTTCTTGCTCGTTCTTCTTGTGATGAGACAGCTTTCCGAACGAGCGGTAGATTAAAAAAAATGTAATGACTATTCAAAAGTGCTTCAATGTAAGTTTATTTGAATAAATGATTTTCTATTCTATTCTATTCTATTCTCTTTCCATCTATTTTTCCTTCGATAATGTTATTAATTAATTCGTCACGTCGTACCAAGTACACCAACATTTTTCCCCGCCTATTCTTATTCTCAGGGAAGTTAAATATTGCAAAAACTTGCGTATCCGATGCATATAATAGGAAATGGCAGTAATCAATGCAATCGTTAGACGCTCATAGATTGAACATAACTTTATGTTATATCATAAGTTAGATGTGATGGTTTTATAGGTTGTGGTTTAACTGGTGTTGATAACAAAGTTTAAGTAAACTTGATTAACCAACAAATAAACAAAAAAATGTACATATGAAGCCACTTGACTACATTTTTTTTTCGAAAGATATATATTAAATCTATACATATAAATAAAATTGCAGTGTCTGTTTGCAATATTGAAACATCAATATAACATTTTTTTTTAATTTTTGTCTGTTTGTCTGTCTGTCTGTTTGATCCGGCTTATCTCTGAAATGGCTGGACCGATTGTGACGGGACTTCTTTTAGCAGGTAGCTGATGTAATAAGAAGTAACTTACTACTTTTATTTTAGAAACATAAAGTTAAATTCCACGCGGACGAAGTCGCGGGTGCAGCTAGTATATTATAAAATAGAAAATTGGAAAATTGCTAATTCAATTCAATTAAAAATATCTCTATTCATGTAGGTCTATTACAGACTCTTATGATATGTCAAATCTACCGTCAGTTCGGAATGATTTCGAGATGAGAAGAACTGACAAGAAACTCAGCTCGTATTCTTTTCAAATAAATGTTGTACATGTTTAGAATAATACAGATTCATTTAAATTCAAATTTGGGAGAATAGAGTGACCACCAGCATATGCTATTGTATAAAACAAAAAATCTAATCAGTGTTCGCAACCTGAACAGACCAGTCCCCATTAGCAGCACCCGTTCACGAGTATGACAGATGAGCCAGCCATCATTGCACTCAACCATATAAGAGTGAGCACATCGACCAATATCAATCAAATGTTTCATTATTATTTAGTTTAATTACTTATTTGGGAGTGTATGAACAAAGTTATTAAACATTCCTAGCGGACGGCCTATGTGGTATATCGGTTTAGCAGAGTGCCTGAATTCCGATGGTCGCAGGTTCGATTCCTCACACGATATGAACATTTGTATTCAAAAGTATGGATGTTTATATCGATCTGGGTTTTCTAAAATATTGCATCTCTAGAACCTTTATGAATGAAAAAAATGTCAAATGAGTTTCAGTAGTAAGAATGCTAATATGGCAACACTGGTAACGTTGCTTTATCGAACAAAAATTTTTCAAATGCACTTTCAGTAGTAAGTATATGGCAACACTGGTATTATTAACGTTGGGAATATTCTGCTTGTAGTCGTAAGGTGTAGCCATTATTTCTACCATTGGAGTACAAAGCAAAGAAGGTCGCATGAGTTCGACGACCACTACTAACTGATTGTTATCCGGTTCGCCTGTAATTAGTGCCAACATCTTTCCGACTGTGTGGTTTACATAACTTGAGAAATTAGAGGCTTCTGTTATAAGATAATAATGATGATGAATTTTATGACTACACAAGCTGTAGTGACTTCATCCGCGTGGAATTTGACTTAATTTTTCTAAAATAAAAGTAGCCTAAGTTACTCCTTATTACCTCAGCTACCTACCAATAAAAGGCCCATCAAAATCCGTCCAGCTATTTCAGAGATTAGCCGGAACAAACAGACAGACAGACAAAAGTTGTAAAAAATGTTATTTTCCTGTATATACCGTATTTAGATTCATATGCATGTAGTAAAAACGGTTATTTCAATATTACAAACAGACATTCCAATTTTATTTAAATGTATAGATGAGTGAGGTAGTTGTTTACTGCGGCGTTACATGCGTGAATCTGTTATCTCGATTTCCGCGGAATTTTCAGTGAACAAAAACACAGAACATCTTTATTTATGTAGGTCTATTAAGAACTGACAAGAAACTCAGCTCGTATTCTTTTCAAATAAATGTTGTACATGTTTACGATAATGCAGATTCATTTAAATTCAAATTTGGGAGAATAGAGTGACCGTTCTTAAGGAATATATGTATGTAATAATATAAAGTTATAACAGAAATTTTAAATTTATATCTCTAGTAGTTTATAGGAATTAAGTTCTATTAATCACTATCATTACAAAGTATAAAACGAAGTCGCTATCGCTGTCTGCCGTCCCTATGTATGCTTAAATCTTTAAAACTATGCAACGGATTTTGACGCGGTTTTTTTAATAGATAGAGTTATTCAAGAGGAAGGTTTATATGTATAATACATGTACACCCGGGCGAAGCCGGGGTGAGCAGCTAGTAATATTATAAATGCGAAACTTATACCTATGTATCTATGGATTGTTAATCTTTCACGCCATAACTACTGGATGAATTTGAATGAAAATTGTGTCACTGATAGATCATATCTTAAATTACTATGTAAGATACTTTTTACGTATTTTTTTTTAGTTTACAAAAGACAAAATAATGATAGGTCACTAAGTTGGGTGATTAATGCAACGTGATTCTGCTGCATATAAATTATTATTATAAAGGAATGTAAGTGATATTGTGGTGGATAATATTATATGTATTGTTTGTATGTAGGTTCTTTATGTGCAGAAAGCTATTGCATCTACTCTATAACTATAACATAAATCGATGCAAAAAAAGAGTAAAATAAAATACATATATTTTCTTGTCACAAAATTAACAAGTCAAATTTATACAATACTTTTTAAAGGTAATAAAAGTGGCTTTTAAATGGCCAGTAATTAACTATGAAGTCCACAACAGATATCAAACTTCCTAAATATTAAAATATCTAAACGCATATATTCTTTATTTCTTATATATTACTGTGTAAAAAAAACCAGTGAGTTCATCGACTAATTTAAACTAAATTGCATTGACTTAATTTTTATAAAATAGATATTGTGTTAGTTTGAGTGTATACTTATATTAAGTTATGTTACATCAAGTCGTTAATGAACGACAATTTAGCATCGTAACTGTTAAATTGATCTAATACAGCTATTAGAAAGAAGCGGTGGCAATTGAGGTCAATCTGTACCGTCTCTACTTTTTATAGCTATAACTAGGTATTATAAATAATATTCTTACCGTTTACGCCAGTCTTGAATGAAACTCCAGTCACACAGCTCATCCTCATCAAGAACTGTAGCCTCGTGATGGTCAGTGCCTCCTCCGTGGACAAGGTCCACCAGTTGCCGAGCCCTCTCGAAGTTACCCTCAAATTCAACCACCAAAAATCCATCAGAACTCACTGTCCCAAACACATCCTTCTTATATGTAGCGTCATTTATGGTCACAATATCTGAGACAGCTTTAGTATCTTCAGATTTAACTTCAGCATAAATAGCTTCAGGTATTTGAATCTCGGAAACCATTTGTGTTCCTCCACCCTTGTCTACTTCTTTGCTTAATCCTAAATTAGCAGTCTCGTCTAGCAAACGATTGGCATAAATTGCTTCCTCTTTTTGTGGTGTGACCTCGTTCTGTTTATTTTCTTCCTTCTTTTGTTCACTATGCTTACGAATAATAGAATCACCAAAATATATAACCACTTTATTGTTATTTTGTGTAATTTTATTTGCTAAACCAATTTCCGAAATGGGCAGGTTTGACTTCTTGTTTTTTTCCTGCGAAAGCCTCTGAGCCAGCTCTTCATAACAAGGCGGTCGGTTGTTGTATATTTTCCTGTCAGAGACTGATCCTTTTTGATTTTCTTCATTCGTCTTTTCCACACTTTGGTAAACTGGAGGTCGACAACAATCATCGAACTGTCCATTCCAGTGTCTAGGTTCGCTGTAGATGTGCTCAGGTGTCGACAACTGAGGTAGCGGTATATATTTTTCATGAAGGTTCTTAGCGTTTGAAACGTCGCTTTTTCTAAAATTTAAAACACTCCGTTTTGTTTTCGATTCGGAAGCGTCACTGTTACTAATTTTCTTCAGCCGTGAATTACCGAGAAGTTTGAACAATGGCTTATGTTCCGTTTGTTTCACTCTGTCTGTGCTCGGTGCTCTCCGCATCCCGAACGGGCCCATATCCTCTTCGGAGGGATGAGGGTAGAGTTGCTCGCAACTGGTAGACTTATGTGTTGTAATTCTCGCCTTAGAGGAGCTCACAGGTTCCCTATTCTGCCAATGTCTCACCGAGAGTCGAGCAGCCCCTCGAATGAACTTCATCGGCTCCCAGGCCTCAGCCTTTTTAAGTATGAAGTTGTCGCACATATTTTTCGGGGGTTTTCTCGAGTCGGCAGCGCGGCAGGACTGCAGTTCGCGGCACAGGAAGCAAGAGCAACGAGCCGGGCACAGCATGACTGCGCGGTTGTGCCGGTCGCACTGACGGCGTCGCGGCCGCCGTTGCCGCTACCGAAGGCCCCAAGAAGCATTGTTACCACGCGCCCCGCTACAATCTCACTTCTTACCTCGACACGGCCGTGCGTGTATTTCACGGATTTATGATACCGTTTTTGGATTTATGAACGCTAAATTTTTCTGAGTGGCAACCCGTTATTGACCGGTCGTGTACGTTTCCCCGGTATTAATTGTGAGTGCATTTACATAATGTCTAAAGTAACTGTAGCATCGTAAAATATGAATGCCAATTGAGAGGTAGTACACATGCAACGCATCTTGGAAGTGAGGTGAATGGAACTATAAGTCGTTTGCTAAATATAGAGCACACGATGCACTAAAGGGTTATTATAGAGTCGGAATCATGTTTGACTGTCGATCGAATTGATTCTGTAATTGGGCTGTAACATCAAACTCAAACGGCAATTATTTCATATTTTGGCCGCAGGTCATTTGATCATTTCGGAGGGCGTTGCGTTAAATATTTCGCTGTCGTTATTTCGGTATAAATGACTTCAGGGTGTAGTCACATTCCGAATATCTACAGATATGTGGATTCTTGAAACGTGAATAATTTATTGATTAAAGTAAAAAAAATATATATAAATTGAGCCCATGTAAAGTCAGACGGACTTTGCTTGGGCTGTATATATCTGAATACATATAACTCAAGGGTGACTGACATAGTGATCTATCAACGCACAGCCCAAACCACTGGACGGATCGGGCTGAAATTTGGCATGCAGGTAGATGTTATGACGTAGCATCCGCTAAGATAGGATTTTGATTAATTCAACCCCCTAAGGGATAAAATAGGGGATGAAAGTTTATATGAAACTTTGTCCATTTTAAACCGATCGGGCTGAGACTTTACATGCATAAAGCTACTATGACGTAGGCATCCGCTAAGAATGGATTTTGAATTCCATCCCTAAGGGGATAAATTAACGCGAGCGAAGCCGCGGGCAAAAGCTAGTTTTTTTAATAAAATACAACACATTTAACTTGTGGATCATAAAGGTTTATATAGCTGATAAATGGTTAAAGATCGTTGAGTATTTTTTAGGTTTATTTATTACAAATAAATAAAAATATTTTTCCGCTTTATACTTACGATTTGTCCGTCTATTACTGTAGTTTTATATAGTATACTTTTGTATTTTTTTTTATTGGGCTGTCTGGGCTACTGTCAGGTGCCTGAAGCACCGCACTGCGACCTAGATCTATTGTGCTCGCCCTTTTTCAGAGTTCGCTACCTAGACCCGTCAGGGACAGGAATTGAAGGATATTCTTAGGAGCGATGGCTTTTATCTCCTCGGGAAAGACTGTAAACTTTCCAAAGGAGATATTTCGTTTATGCGAGTGGGCTAACCACATAGAAAGTGTAGTGGCAAAATCTGCAGATTCAAAGCTTTTATATCCGAACTATCCTACTTTTGTATCCTGATGTATACGTCGGCAACAAACATGTTTCCTGACAAAAATGTGCAAATACAATGAAGTTAGAACAGTTCACCTTTCAAAACAGATCCTATTCAACAGAATCTCTTTTTACTTTATATTTACCAACCTGTGTATACTTTAAAAACGATTTTATAAAGCGAAATACTACATTAAAACATTCATTTTTTTTGTATTTTAAATCGCCATATAGAATCATGTCTACTGATGGTAATAAACTGACGGTAGATTTGACATATCATAAGAGTCTGTGATAGAATTTATTTTTACTTTATATTTATCAACTTGTGTATATTTTAAATACAATTTTATAAAGAGAAATATTACAATAAAACATTCATTTTTTTGTATTTTAAATCGCCATATAGAATCATGTCTACTGATGGTAATAAACTGACGGTAGACTTGGCATATCATAAGAGTCTGTGATAGACCTACACGAATAAAGATATTCTGAATTGATTTGACACGAACATATGGTATTTCCAGCAGGTTAATAAAGTAAAAAAAATTAACACACACGTAACAAAAAAAAAATCCTTAATAAAATAAGTTTAGAAAAGAGCTTAAAAATATGGCTACTGGATAATGGTACTGCTATGAGAGGTACAAAATATGGCTACTGGATAATGGTACTGCTATGAGAGGTACAAAATATGGCTACTGGATAATGGTACTGCTATGAGAGGTACAAAATATGGCTACTGGATAATGGTACCTATAAGATATTCCCTTTCCTCTATATGTCATTGAATTTTCTGAACAATTGAAATCTATGAGTATTTTAATATTCTACACAAGTAATTGATGTATTTATATAATGCACAGGTAATTCCGTGGTAGAAAATTAACCTCCAGAATACAATTTAACACTGTGAGTAGAATAGAACTAGTTAATCTTTATTTATATACTAGCTGTTCCCAGCGACTTGTCCGTGTGGAATTTAACTTTATTTTTCTAAAATAAAGAATTTTCTAAAATAAAAGTAGCCTAAGTTACTGCTTATTACATCAGCTACCTATCCAAAAAGCCCATCAAAATCGGTCCAGCCATTTCAGAGATTAGCCGGAACAAACAGACCGACAGACAGACAGACAAAAATTATAAAAAATGTTATTTTGGTATATGTACCGTATATACATTCATATGCATAGAGTAAAAAACGGTTATTTCAGTATTACAAACAGACACTTCAATTTTATTTATATGTATAAATAACTTATATAACTTTATTATTGTGTATACAAAAGGTAAAAGTGCATTTGGTGGCTTTATTCAACGAGGCTTAAGTTAAAAACGCTTTTGAAATGTGTCGCTTAATTCGTAGAGCAGGTATTGCCAAGAAGAATGGGCAAGGAACGCCTTTCAAATAGAGCCATGTGTATTATTATTACATTATATCAAATAAATTATATAATAGAAAAGAATATTCCTAATTTAAATAAACTTAAATTTAAACACTTTTGAATAACCTTATTTATTTTTATTTTTTTATTTATATAACTTCAATGCACAAAATACCAAGGTAAAAGTACATATGGCGGACTTAACGCCTTAAGGCATTTTCTACCAGTCAACCACAGGCTGTGTATATAAAAACTGTAGGCGGTGCAAATATAATCAATAATAACAATAAGTAAAAAAAAAAATTATACGTATACTAAAAGTAAATACATGTAAACACATGCATATACATACACAAATACATATATATATAATATATATCAATCTATAAATAAATATAAAATAAAATATATAAATCAAATATACATCATATAACATAGTCTGACAATGAAAAAGTGAAAACAGAGAGTGAATGTAACTAGGAAATAGAGACTAACGAAAAAAAAGAAAGAGAAAAAAAAAAGACAATTCTGGAAGCTACCCCATCAAAAGAAGATTAAGTTGAATACGAACTACCAACAATACTAAACAAGTGATGCAAATTTTTTTAGGACACGATTGGTTTTTTTTTTAATTGAAACTCGATGTTTTATTTATTTTACATAACATTTAATATTAATAAATTGTACAGAGCAAGAATCTATAAGCATATATTAGTCCACTGCTGGACGTATGACTCTTGCATAATTTTCCACTTTTTTTTATCTGTGACGCAACTTTTCCAGGTCGGCTCTACAGTCTTCCTGGTGTCATCAGACCATTCAGCAGTTGGTCTGCTACGCTGCTCAAATTCGAAATATCTTTATTCATGTAGGTCTATTACAGACTCTTATGATATGTCAAATCTACCGTCAGTTCGGAATGATTTCGAGATGAGAAGAACTGACAAGAATCTCAGCTCGTATTCTTTTCAAATAAACAACGATGTTGCTGCCGTCAGCAATAATTATTCCAAATCACTTAGTATTAAATAAAAAAAAATCATTACATAATTCATAGTAACAACAACAATAATAAAAGTAAAACACAAAACGAAATCCATATATGGCCATTCGTTTTCTGAGATTTCCATGCGAAAACAATGGTTGAGTAAACTTGAATTACTCCAAGGACTTTCTCCGTCACCCTGGGATGGGAACATCACTAATTATCATCAGAACCGATGAACAATACCCAGAGACGAGCATGTTTTATGCAATGAAAGTAACTGTTACTACTTTACAATTTCTTAGCAGAAGATAGCACTCGTGGGAGTTACGTTTTTATTAATTTAAATCCACTCTGACAAAAGGTTCGTTAGACAATACGAACTAACTTCTATGAACAGTTCAACTTGTCACGTTGAAATTGGTTTATAACAATAATAATCTCAGGACAATTCACACAGCGCCATCTAGACCCAAGTTAAGCTAGCTAAAGCTTGTGTTATGGGTACTAGATAACTGATACAAATACATAGATAATTTTTTTTTCGTAAATACATACATATTATACATAGAAAATACCCAGACCGATACAAACAATCGTACTCATGAATACAAATGTTTGTGCCGTGCGAGGAATCGAACCCGCGACCATCGGATGTAAAGCGGTGTGCTAGACCGCTAGACCACCGAGGTCGTCGTTTATGACTACAATATTGTATGAAATTTATAGCCTATGAGTTATTCTAATGTACAAGCTATATTACTGTAAAGTTTCATCAAAATCCGTTCAGTAGATGTTGCGTGAAAATATAATGAACATCTATCCATCCATACTCATAAACTTTCGAGTTTATAATATTAACTAGCTGTTCTCGCGACTTCGTCCGCGTGGAATTTAACTTTATTTTTCTAAAATAAAAGTAGCCTAAAGAACTAAAAAATATTTTATTCGTAAAATAGCGTAAATAGATCGATTCGAATACAGGACAGAGTCAGTCCCCCCGGGACATTTTAAACAAAGCCTAAAATACGGGACGTCCTGGGAATTATGGGACGTCTGGCAACACTACTTAGCAAGTTGCTTGGCGGCTGGTATAAGTGAGACTGTATTGCTCTTTTTTTTATATATATATATTTAAATACATTTTTCCACAGATATATTCGTCCGTGCCTTTTTTAATTTACTTTAA